TGTGCAATGGTAGGCTTTGTGTTGAGTGGTAGAGAAGGTAAAATGTCTTTACAGTTGTTATTAGCATTAGTTTCAGCAAGTTTAGTAAGGAGTACCTTCCTGGCTTTTGGATGCACAACTTGTTTCGATATTGCTTGTGGAAGGTGGTCAATAAATTTTAGAAAGGATTGCCCAGGTCCCTGCAGAATGTCTGTGAAATCTAGAGTAGGTGTTTCTCCGTTGGGTGTCTGCATGAGAGGCGTCTTTGCAGCACTTCTATCTCTTCTAATAGAGCTCAGGGAAGGTCTATTGAATGAGATTTAGTGAAATATTCCTCCCTAGATGGAATAGTGTTAGGTGTGCCTGCCTGTCTTCCCTAGCATAGTCTGTTAATAGCTGTTGTATTAGTTTTTCCCCCATTCCTTCCCACAGAATAATTTCAGTGGGAGAAAGTAGGATGTGCATAAAATGGAGCAGATCGTGAGGCACCATAACATGTGAAGTGAAGATGGCATTTAACAAATTATTAAAGTACGATGAGACCCTCCCATGGTCTTTCATTGCTTTTGAAAGATCTTTCATCTCCCGTGTGGGACAGTTTCCCATCAGGGGTTAGCCCCACTCTGGTACTGCACCGGTGCTGCTTGTATTTTAGCTACCAATTCCCAGTCCCCCTCTTCAGCCGCCAGCTTCCGCATCCTCTGCCAAGAATCCTCAGGCTCATGCTGAAGAAGAGGGAACTTGGTCTTTGGCAGAGGAGCGGGGCCTGGGGTGAGTGGCCACGCCCGGTGTTGTGGGCCTTTGGTTGCCAAGATGGCGGCCTTCCAGTTACCACCCCTCACACTTCCAGCTCTGACAGTGTTGGATCCGCAAGGGGCTGAGTTGGAAGGGGTAGGGCAGCGGGAGTAGGCAAGGAAGCGCTGGATCCCAATGCAGGGGTGGTACCTGACGCAGAGCTGGGACCCAACACAGGGGGAGGACCCGATGAGAGAGCTGCGGGTGGGAGAGAGTTTGATATTGACGACCCCCTCCAGAGGTGGGACTGCATTTTGTGAGCTATCTGAGGGGGATCCAGTGAGGAGAGGTACTGAAGAATGGGTTAGGGTAGAATCCAGGCCGGTGTGATCAGTACAGACGTGGGCAGGGGGTAGAGAAGGAGGGGAGATGGCAGACAGCAGGTGGCTTGTCTAGACTTTACCGCAGTACCTGTGTATCACCCTTATCTTGGTATCAGTGGGTTCAGGAATGCCGGGGGCAGAACTCAAAAACTGGATTGAATATTAGAACTTTGATCCCTTGAGAAAACTCTATAAATCATATGAAAAATAGAGTAAAATGTTGCGACTCGTATCACTCCCTGAGTTTTCTAAAAATAGAGACTTTCCTTAACTCAGTCCCAGAATGCTATAAAACGAACCGAATACAAAGAAATATCTGGGAAAGCCTTTAAAAGCCAATGAACAAATGACTTTCAACTTCCCTTAGTAAAAATCTTCTACTCTGAAAGGAGAGACTACCTAACTGGAAGATATATATCGCTCTAAGGATTGGATAATTTGTTACCCAGAGCTGCCCCTGATGTAAAGGGTGGCCCACCCACAGGGCTAAAATATCACCCATGGATCCTGCACTGCAGGCGGCTGTCCCCACATTCCCTGCTCTGGTGGTGCTGGATGCAGATGTTTCAAAATGTCCCCTGGGCTTCACCAGCTGAGCCGGCCCTGTTGCTGCTGCAGGGCGCCAACACTGCATTCAGTAAGCCCTGATAAAACTGATAAAACGTTGCAGCATTTAAAGGGCTGCCTCACTTTACTTTAATTTGTCATTTTTGTCGTGAGATATTATAATTCCAGTAAGAGGCCCCTGGGCGTCCACAACCTTGAATTCTCCTGAGATATCATTGTAATGAGGAGCCCAGCAGTGCTGAAAGCAGAGGCCTGTCCTTTGTGTCCACTTTGGGATGGCAGTGGAAGTGCCCTGAGTGCACATTGAGAGGCACCTTCATGGCTTCTCATGCCACGACACGAAAACTGAATGTGCAAGGTGGCTTCTTTGAATTACATTCAGTCTTTTGAAATATCTACAGGAAGTGGTCTGGAAATGCTTTCTGAGCCTGCTCCTTGGGATCATCTGTGAGGGGCTGAGGGCTGGCCTGGGCCCAGTGCTGCGTCCCAGTGGGAGCAGCCGCACAGGCTCACGTGAAGAGCAGGTACTGCCAGAGGCCCTGGAGATCTCACCTACCCTGCAGCCACCATTGTCAAGGTGCTGTAAAGATCAGCTGGTGCTGACTTTCCCCTTGGATGCCGTGGTGTACTCACTATGGGGAATTTCTTTCCTGAAGCCCATTGGATTTCCCCCTGGCAGGTGTGATGGGGATGCTCGGGGAGTGTGGGGCTTTGGGGGCAGCTGCCCGGGCAGGGGCTGAGCTCGGGGCCCTGTTGGGCCCTGGCCCCCAGCAGCAGCAGCAGCAGCAGCAGCAGCAGCAGCAGCAGCAGCAGCAGCAGCAGCCCCAGGGCCCCAAGCCCCGTGCCCCCTGCCCAGCACAGGCTGCCCTGTCCCTGCAGCTGTCACCCGAGTGGGGCCCAGGGGCCAGTGGCCGCTGGCAGCAGCAGGAATGCGGGCAGGGTGAGGATGTCCTGGCTTGGCTTTTGTCTCTGGAACAATGCAGGCTCAGGGCAGTGCAGAGAGGAGCAGGCTGGGAAGCAGAGCCCAGGGCCTTTGGAGGCTGCAAGGCTTAAAGATCAGCCCCTGCAGCAGCCCAGATGCAGGTGGCCCAGTTGCCAAGGCTGTGGTGGCCTTGAGAGCATGTGCAGGTGGATTTTGCATGGCTGTGGCCTGCTGGCGGCTCTGGGCCCAGGAGTGCCTGTGGCTGCAGCAGGAAGGGTGGCTGAAGGTTTGCTGGCTGCTTTGGTGGCATGGCTGCAGGTGCCAGTGCTGTGAGAGCCCCCTGTGTGAGAGCTGGTGAGAGCTGAGCTCTTGGGGACAGCGCTGTGCCCCAGGCCAGGAAGAGCAGCAGTGCCCAGGGCCAGGAGTGGTGTCAGTGGGAGCCCCTGTGCACAGGGACCCGCAGCCCCGGGGTGGCCGTGCCAGCACCCCCAGGGACATCCAGCCCTGGGAACACGGAACAAGTGGAACCCACAAGTGTGCAAAGGCTGCCTGTTGCCAAAGGAATGGCCAAGAGAAGTCAGGTTTTAAAATGAAACAGTATTTATTTGCCGAAGATCGGCAAATCTAGGATTTACAGAATATGTGTCATTATAAGAATTGTTATAACAACAACCACAAAAACATACAGAACATATTGACATGGGATCTGATGGGCTAAAAATCATCAAAATGTATTTACAAAAAACTTCCAACGTAGTAAACATATTTACAGGAAGCTTCTAAACTCTCAAACGTATTTACAAATGCATCCTATCTGAGCCATGATGTTCATGAGTCCTGGAAGAAAGGAAGCAGCAGAGCTGGACTCATCTGGCAGCACTGGGCCCAGCAGGGCTGGGAGCTGGGCCCCAGGGGCTGGGCCGGGGCTGGCAGGGCTGGCGTCGCCCCAGGCAAGCGCAGGGCAGGCCGGGGCTGGTGCTTGTGGCAGCACAATCCAGGCCCCCTGCGGGCACCGTGTCCCTGAGCGGGGCCATCCAGCCCCGCCCCAGCCTGGCGTCAGGGGACCCAGTGTGTGTGTGGGCAGGGTGTGGGAAGCATCTGCCTGTCTTACCTGTGGGGCTCCATCTTCATCCAAGGACCGTGGGCTCGTTTTCATTCTCCTCATCTTCTTCCATGTCCTCGATGTTATCCTCCTCATCGACCTCCATCTTGTCGATGTTGTCGTCCTCCTCTATTTCCATGTCCTGAACCAGGTTGGACATGGAAGTAGAGGAGGAGTCCACCCCAGTCATTTCTTCCTCATCCAGCCCCAGGTCCACTTCCATCTCCTCCACGGTGTCTCTGTCAGCCTGCAAGGGGCAGCACAATCTCCCAGTGGGCTTCCTGTCCCACACCATCCATTCCCACATGGCTGCAGCCTGCCCAAGCCGGGTGCCCCCTGCCTGGCATGGCACTGTACCTCCATGGGCACAGCAGAGCACATTGTGCTATGATTGGCGCTCCAGAGCAGGTTGCAGAAAAAACCCAGTCAGCAGCAGCACCTCAGCACTGAGGGTCAGAGCACAGGGTGAGCAGCAACTGACCCTTGGCAGCCGGTGAAGTGTCTGCTGTGCTTGTTTCCAGTCCTGGACGTTCCACCTGGAACCCTCTGGGAGCTGTGATGTCACTGAAGTTTCAAGGCCGCTGCTCAATGGGAGATGGGGATGGCAGAATGATCAAATCCTTGAATGGTTTGGCTTGGAAGGGACCCTCAAGATGATATGGTTCCAAGCTGAGCAAGCTACCAGCACAGCAGGTTGCTGCGGCCACTGTCCCACTTGGCCTTGGATGTTGCTGGGGATGGGGCATCCACAGCCTCTCTGCACTGGCCCCTGTGTCGGGGACAAGCACCCTGAGAGTAAAGAACCTCTTCCCATCATCAAATCTCTTCCATCTCTTGCAGTTTGATCCCATTCCTCCTTGTCCCGTCACTAATGTTCCTGACCAAGAGTCCTCTCCCACTTCTCTGTAGTCCCTTCCCTCACTGGAAAGGTGCTGAGGTCTCCTGTGACTCTCTGTGCAATGTTCATAAGCTGAAATCTGCAAGTTGAAGCTTGTAGGCCCTCTGCAGTTATATAGTGGCGCTGGGGTTGTTCCTCAATGGCAACACAAAATTCTGAGGTATCAATTCATCAGCTGTTTTTATTGTGGTGGGATCTGAGTATTTGGGTCAGCAGAGCCCTATATTGTCAGGGGGTGGTGTCTGTGAGCCTGACACAGAATCCAGCACTCAGACTAATCTTTTCTTGAGTATGGTAGGTTTTTTCATTCCTTTCCTCCTGCCCTTAGCCATTGCTAGAATGTCACCGTGAAGATAGAATTGAGGCCGTTTTTCACTCATTACATGTTCTTGTTTGTTTTGTTTCTTCTGCAAGGCTGGGCAAGGTTGATCTTGATGCAAATTCATTCACATCTGAGGAGCTTAAAAAGGCCTTGGCTAAAATGAAGGAAAGTGAGAAGGCAGAAAGGAAGGTGAGTTTCCCATTTCTAAAGCAATGCACATTGCAGGGATCTGAAAACACCCTGTTACACTCTGCTGAAACACAATGGTTAAAATGATTGCTTGGAAAACACTGTGCAAACTAATTTTGTGGTGAATATGGACCTAAAATACCTTTATTAACCTGTTAGTGATATTGTTCCCTGACTTTTCTGTACGACTCGAAGATTCTGTGAGTGGTTTGGGTTGGATATGACCTTAAAGCTGATCCAGTCCCACCCCTGCCATGGGCAGGGACACCTTCCACTATCTCAGGTTGCTCCAAGCCCCATTCAAGCTGGCCTTCGACATTTCCAGGGATCCAGGGGCAGCCACAGCTGCTCTGAACAATGTAATTTATCTGTTTCACTGCAGCTCAATTCACAAAAATGTCTGCAGACCCCAAAGGGAACTGGATTGCAGCTGACGGTATTTACAGGGGGTATTTCCCTTTACTCTCCTTGCTTTGGATTTCCAACCTTGTGCTCTGGATAGCAAAACCCAAGTGGTCATGGTGAAGCAGGGGCTGATGTTTCCTTACACAAGCTCCAAGTTGTCCATTTAGTTACAAAACAACCCACAACCCAAAGTAAATAGGTGGGAAGATGTGTGACTCATCAGGTACATCAGAGCCTCTTTCCCTTCTCCCCCTCAGCAGTATTTCTTTAACCCTCGCTCCTCCTGCTGCCTTGGTCTTGGCTCACTCAAACAAAAACTGAAAGAGGAGTCAAGGCTCTAAAGTTCTGGTGTCACAGAAAGGCTTTTTCTTCCCTTATGTGGCAGCACGGTATGATTTCATTTGCTGGAGATTATTTCCATAGCAGCATTGCTGATTGATTGCAGGGCTGCTGAAAAGGGCTGCTGGAAATGAGGATCACTGAAATGCAAAAATTAGTGATACTCTATTAGGTGAAAATAAGCCATCTTTTAAAACCCCCTGTTAGAATAGCTTTTGTCCCAGCAAGTGGGCTAAAAGCAGCTACATCTAATGGACCTAAAGTATTCCATTTGCGGTCACTCCTGCAGAGAGCAAATCCATCCCTGAAGGCTCAGTGTCAGAGGAAATGGAGTTACACCGAGCCTCTCTGTGCTCCGGCAGAGGCAGCTCTGGGAGGGATGGGTTGGTTGTGGTACCTCTGGTAATTTATCATTCCATTGACACAGCTTTCACCTCCGTTGCTCACTTGGTTTTCCTCCAGCCCTCTCTGATCCCTCATGAGGTACAGGACAGTGCAAACCCTCCAGCTGAGGCTCACTCCGCATACAAACACATCTGGGCATTTGTGACAAATGCCTTCCAAAAGGGGCTTTCTGCCTTTCTCCTGTCCTTGGGGCAGCCCAGCTCCAGCATGGCCTCTCTGCTGCTTCTGTCCCCTGCAGCAGCAGGCTCTGTCCCCAGTGCCACCAGTGCTGATGTTCCTGCACCTCTGGGGCTCTCTGAGATCTCTGACAGAGCCTTTCCTCCTCACCACATGTTTTGTGTCAGCTCTCTGTTCAGGGCAGCCCTTGGGGTGCTGTTACTGCGAGGGAGATGAGCTCAGGACAGGCTGTGTGCCGGCCATGCCCCATGGCACAGCACGTCAGCTGCCCCCAGCTTATCACTGCTCCTTCTGCCTCCCTTTCTGACAGCTTCTGTCCTCACACCTCTCCCTAGGAGATAGACCCTTCCAGGAATTTGCTCAACACTTGGAAAGGCAAAAGCATCTTTGTCTGTGTCTGAGAACTCGTTGGAGTCACTGGGCACTTTGGGCTGGATGGGACCTCTGGAGCTCTCCAGCCTCATGTCCAGTTCCAGAGAGGTTCAGCTGTAAGATCAGGGAGGTGCCTCAGGGCTTTTTGCAGCCAGGTTTTGAGAAGATCCACTTGCAGGCAAGCAGAGAACAGCAGTACTGCTGCCTGTGGGCTTGATGTTGAATTGGATGGAAATGGGATGTAGAAATAGTGCACAAATGCTGTAGAGATGTAGAAGTGGTGCACAGAGCTCTACTGTTCACTCATATTGTGGGTATATCACAGCTAACTGGGTTCTTGGGCTTCTCAGAAGGACCCTGCCCCTGCACCTCTGATGTAGAGCAATAAATCCATTGGCACAGATAGCCAGGTTCCCTTTGTGAATTTTGGGGCTGGCATTCCTTTCTGTGTCTGTCTTGTCTCTCTTCATCTCCTATCTTGTTATCTCACATCTGGTTTTTCCTCCTTTTGTTTCCAAGGCCCGAGAGGAAGAGGTGAGGAAGAAGTTCCGGCCCATAGAGCAGCTGAAGGAGGAGTTTGAAAAGCTGAACATGAAGATAGAAACAGATTATGAAATTATGGTTAAATTAATCAGCAAATTCAACAGCTCTGCCTCCATGCTGGATGAGAAAGTCACGACGCTTTATGATCTTGAATATTATGTTCACCAGGTAGCAAGAATGCCTCAGTAACTACCGTGTAAAATCCAGGGGATACAGTGTCATAAACAGGGCTTTATTTTTCTTATCAGTATCAGGTAACACAAATTGCTTAATTACCATAATCCTGGGACAATACCAGACAGCAGAGGACTAGTGCAGGCTTATTTTATATCCAGGTTGGAATTAATCATCGCTTGGGCCAGGAGCCAGCAGTATCCTGGTGGTTGCCTGATTTGTTGTCTGTTCTCAGGCTGGTTTTCTTATCCTCTCTTTTTCCTTTTTTATCTCCTTAATGTTACAAAATGGCGTTTTAGCTGCCATTTTTGGGTAAGTAGAGTGGTGGTTGCTCAGAAAATAATTATTTTCTTTCTGCTTCCATGGAAAGCTGCCGTGGTTGATGGTAGGTGCCTTTATATCAGTTCACAGAGAACGTCTTTGTACCAGGAAAGGTGACAGCCACCCAAAACCCCCTATTTTGTCTTGGTGTGAGTAAGCAGTGGCAAGCAGAGCCTCGCTGTGCTAATTAGCTCTGTGTGAGGGTGAACATATTTCCTGGCATCTCGCTTCCTGGGGTTTGTGCTCACACTTTTCCCCCCTCTCTCTGATCTCTCTTGCTCTGCTTTCAGCTCACACATTCCTACCTCCCCTTGGATGCAGCTGCAGGCACAGAGCTCTGCTCCCCTGGGCTTGGTGCCTGCCTTGGTGCCACCCCTGGGAGGGTGTCTGGGCATCCAGCCTCTGCTCTGCCGTGTGGGAAGGGACTTGGCTTCTCCCTCCCCAGTGACTGGGGAGAGTCTGGAGTGCACTGGGAGAGTTTCCAGTGGCACTTTGTCATTTCAGAGGGTGAATAGGACAACTCTTGGGAGGTGCCAGTGCAAGCCCTTTCACTGGAACAGCACTTGTTGAACCAAATGTGGTATTTGGAGGCAGGTAGCTGAAGTGTTGCTGCTGTGAGAGAGAGAGTCCATGTGCCAGCTGATACAAGTGTTATTTCCAGGGCTCTTTGTCTTGAATTTCCACTCTGAATTGTCATTGTGGGCATGCAGAGGCTTCCTTGCTGTTTGTTCTCCCTGCTTTTGTGTCACTGACTGCATTTGTGTGACTCAGAGTTAAATAACTGTGAACAATGGGCACCCAAAGAGCTTCATATTTGTACTCAGGGCTAATCTTGCCTGATTAAGGGTGCCAGAGCATCAGGCCATTGTGCTAAAAAGCAACCCCCAAATGCCCTGGCATGCCTTGAATTCCAGCATAGCGATCTGGACTATTCCAGCAGAAAATCCCTGCAGCACAGGATGGGGCAAACAATTTCAGAATGGCAGAGGAGCAGGGACTGGAGCATCAAACGGAAGCACATGCAGCATCAAAGGGGTCAGAGAGGGGCAATGGCAGGAGGCTGGCAAGAGCACAGGGGCTCCTTTGTGCGCCGATCACAGCGCTGCTCTGTGCCCGCGCTGTCGGGGCAGATGGCTGGGCAGCACCTTCTCGTCAGGCAGGAAGCTGATAAGAAATATGACTTGTCTCTAAGCCAGCATGGCTTTTCCTCCTCTTTCTTCTTCCAGTCAGTTGAATGCGTCCAGAGCATTATCTCTGCTTGGGACTGACTTTAGCAGCAGTGGCTTAATGTAATTACTGAGCAGCAGCCAAAGGACACTGGTGCCGCATAACTCTGGAAGGGCTGAACTGCCAGGACTTCTCTGCAGTGAGTCACAGCCCTGCTGTGGGAGCAGGGGATCCTTGCAGATGTGGGTGGCCAAGGACTTGTGTAGGGCCACTTTGCAAGTCCCACCTTCCCCAGCCTCCATCAGAGCAGTACCATGCCGTGCCGTGGCTTTTCAGAACTGTTCAGCTCCCGGCCATCCTGCTGCTGTCTCCGGGACACAGGATGCCCTGTGGAGTGGAAAATGCCATGCCCTGGAGGACGTGCAAGCAAAGGCTGCTCCCTGCTCTGTGCCATGGTCACCCTGGAGCAGTGGGTGCGGGGCAGCTCGTGCCTCGGAGCGTGCCGTGGGAGCCATGGCTGGTGCCCAGCCCGGGGAGATGCTCTCTCCTGCCTTTGAAGAGTCAGCCCAAGGGCTCTGCCTTTGCTCAGCTTTTGGTTGCCAGCTCTGGTTTGCCTCTCCTCAGCCACGATTCAGCTTGGCATGTTCGGGAGTCCGTCTTGGAGAAGGAGTAGGAAGGTTTGGCTTGCTGGGTTATCTGTATCGCATAAAACCCAAATGCAAATGTGAAGAGGGAAGAGCATAACTCATAAACAGCATTCACGGTGCTTGCACAGCAGTGTGTGGAGCCAAGACCCGTTCTCAGGCATTGCAGGCTCTTTCTCTCAATTATTTACTCTGCTTATCTTCTCCTCTCCTCTGCTCTGACATGCTACACCATCTGTCTCTGCTAATTTCCTCTCCATCGTGTGCAGTTGATATGCTGCTTTCCCTCGCTCTTGTTTTCTAACATTTTCTCTCTCACCTTCCCTCCCTATTTTCTTTCTCCTCCAATTCAAAACTGCTCCCTGAATAACTGCTGTCATATTTGCTCTTCTCCTATCCCTCCCCTCGCCTGCTTTGCCCGTGTACTTTACTCAAGAGCTCTTTTGATCTTTGGTTTTTCTTCTGTGCTGATTTCAGTGGACTGAAGTGAGGTAGAAGCTGCTGCCTTGCAGCATACACTGTTCCCCAGAGAGGTTAATACCTTCAAGTTGTTAAGTTTGGGGATTTTGTTAGTTTTAGAACTGGAGCTCTCACAACAGACTCTGGTTAAAAAAGATAAACACATCTTCAGAATAAGCTTTACAGCACAACAGCACAATTTACATTCTGCTGTTGTGGTGTCTCACTGACGCTGGGGCAGCACAAAGGACTCTGGTGCTGCTGAGGTTACAGCAGGGGATGGTTTTACCACTCCAGCTGCTGGATGCAAATTCCTGCCTGTCCATATATTCCCTCTCATGCAGAAGTCGATGTCTGATTCCAGCACTAAACCAGTTTTTACAGAGGCTGAGCAATAAAAGGACCCACTGGCAGATGAAATTGGGTTGCTGCATAGATTTCGTTGTAGATAAAGATGGGTCTGCAGAAAAGTGAGAGCTCTGGCAGGCCTGGTTTATAGGGACAGTTAAAAGAACAGCATCTGAAAGGATACAAAAGCTGCTGCAAATCCTGAATCAGCCCCAGCAGACCTGCAGAGAGCAGCTTTGCAGAGGGACAGGTGGGTATTGTCTCACTGGGGAGCAGAGATGAGCTGGAGCTCCCCAGGTCCTGCTTTGGTTGGTAACGGCAGACCTGTAGGACACAAAGCTTCTTCTTCTCCTGGGTACCTGAAATATCTGACTTAGGGCCAATTTTGATGAAGGTACATGGTTGAGATACAAATAACACTGAGCATGAAGTCATTGACTAGAAGAGGGTCCCACATGCCCTGCATGGCTTGTGGTCCTGTTCCACCTCATCAGGGGGTCGGCTTGCCCTGCTGATAACTCATTTTTTTATTCTGTTTCCATCAGCCAACGATTGCTGTTGTGTCCCTGTCTTTCAGAGAGATATGTTGAATTTCTAAACCTGATTTTTCTGTGCAGGCAGAAACTGATTTTTCTGTGCAGGCAGTTCTGAGCATTCATCAGATCCTCTTTTAAACTGAAAAAAAAATCATTGAATACCAAAATGCATTGATTTGACTTTGGACTGAATTTTGTACTTGAAGTAGTTTGTGCTGTTTCTCTAAATTTTGTCTGTGAGCACTCAGAGCCTTTTCTGATCTCCTCTCAAAGAGCAGATGCCCGCTGGGACTGTGCCTGGCTAGCCCCTGATCCACTTAGAGCCAGAGGCTGATGAATTCCCACTAATGTGCAAACTTTTCCCTACTGGCAGTTAATCCATTATTGTTTGCTTAGAAAAGTCATTGTGGGGCTGCTCCCTGGGGAAGCTCCTGGATGACCCCTCCAAGCTGGGACTGGCTTTTTCCTTCCTTGTCCATGGGAAGTTGTTGATGGAACTCATGGAGAACTCCCAGAACTGCCCATGCTACTCGCTCCCATGCCCCCTTTGCACCCTGTTGGTGCTGACAGGCTCCTAAACATCCCTGACTCCTGGTGCTACAATTACAGCATCAATTAATTAACTTCATTTGCAAAACATGCAATTCCCTGGATCCCTAGTAAAGGCTTGCTCAGGGGAGAGCAAAGAGCTGGAGGTTTTTGACATCAGCAGATATATTGAGTTTTTGACACCACCTGAATTGCCAAAGTACATGTCAAGAGCAGTTTTGATAGCTATAATCAAAGTATTTGAGTTTCCAGCGATGCCTTCTGAGTGTGACAATGTCCTCCCACGAGGACACTGTGCCTGGGCAGCTGTGACATCTCTGCTCATGGGCAGGGCTGTGCTAAACTCAGCCACAGCCATTCCCTCGGAATTTTTAATCCCTTGTAAAACTCCCTGCTGATCAAAGCAGGAGGGAAGGGATGCTGTGGGTGTGAAGGGAGGTGTTCTCCAGGGGCTGGGGCTTTGTGCTGATGGAAGCTGCTCTCTCCCAGGTGGACAATGCCAAGGATTTCCTGTCCATGGGTGGGCTCCGGCTGGTGATCGAGGAGCTGAACAGCAGCGAGGCCTCACTGAAGGAACACACTGCCTTTGTCCTGGGAGCTGCCCTGTCCAGGTGAGACCTGCCCTCGCCTGGGCTCTGTGCCTCTCTCCACCTCCCTTGGTTTATTTCTGATAGCAGAGACCAAAAGCTGTGTTGTGACACACCACAAAACTGTCTTGTCCCCTTCCTCACCCTTGCAACATCTGTTTCCCCTTCTCCTCAGTGTGTCCTTATCTTGCTCATTGGACACATCCAGAAGTAATGTGGTGTCAAATCTATGATTGTTTCTTGGTTTCCCTGGCCTCCCTGTTTCTACAAAGTCCAAGGAAGGAATAATTCTCCTTCTGTCCCACTGACAGCTCTCTC